GGAGTACTCTGCTGCTGGTGCTGATGCTGATGCTGCTGCATGCTGGGTGTATTTGGAGTCATCACAGCACTGCTCAGTCCCAGGGAATTGGCAGTCATCGAGTTGGGGGGCGTCCGCTGCTGGGACTTGCTGCTGTGCCTGGCACAGGACTCAGGGAGGGACTTCTTAGGGAGACTTGGCCAACGGCGTGGAATAACTGGGCGGATGATCCTCCCTCTGCTGCTGCTTTATCTGCTGTAGTGCCTGAAACTGGGCCAGGGCCTGCAGAGAATTCTGGAGCAGAAACTGTGATGCCAGGTTTTGATTGGGAAAAGCCTCGGGAGCCAGTTGCCGGACCATTTCGATGTAACTATGCAACTGAAGCTGCAGCGCCTGATGCATTTCCTCGGGCGCAAAATTCATGGGCTGTGGTGGCACCACACTGGGCTCCAGCTCCTCTTCCTCCTTCACCGTTTCCTGCTTGATTTCAGCTAATCTCTTTGGCGGTGGAGCCAAGTCCAGGACCTCGTTCTCCAGCTCTGGATCCAGATCACGGGCCTGGCGCTTGCTGCTTAGATTCTGTGGCATCTCGACGCAGTTCTCGCCCAGTTCAAGTTCCTCCTCCTCAAAACTCTTGCCGCAGTCTGTAAGCAAAGGAAAAGAAGATATTTTTATATGTTGTACGGAAAAGAGATATATTTTTATATATGTACATGTATGTATATATATATAGTAAACGTCGATTGTGGTGGGTAGTTTGCTTTTCAATTTTCCAACTCAATGAAGTTCAAGTAGCCGGACTCTGGTCAACGCACGCGTTCTATAATTTGATTTTAAGCAAAAGACTGTGCAAGTTTTACAATATTTCCAAAGCTATTTTGAAGGTATCGCAAGGATATTTTGATTTATGAATAAGTTTGATTAGAAAGAACCTATTTTGTTGTCATTTTTGTTTTAAAGTAAAAGTATTAAATCTCTCTATAATCAATTAAAGTCTGCTTTTGTATCTAAGTTGTTTTAAAATTTATTTAGAAAAATATATTTGAAGGTAGCTTTAAGCTTAATTTTTATACGTTCTCTACTTTTTGTTCGCTCGAAATATAAAGAACAGCCTAATATTCTCCCTAAATAAATTAAATATTTTAACACTTTACAATATTTTCCTATATTTTAAAAAGAGTATAAATTGTAAGTTCATTTTTCTTAGACCAATTTATCTTCAGCCTTTTTAAGGCAAATTTTATTCAATCTTCCAATTGAATGCCCATTTTTTTCCTTGGCTGTCCTGTCCAATGTCTGTGTCCTGCGGTTAGCTACGATAGACGCTCAAGCGGAAGGGTTCGCCTTTGTGGCCTCCACTTCCCCCATTGAACCCACAGCGAACTCCCCCAAAAAAAACTGTGTTGTTGAAAACCCAATCATGCATAATAATTGAAAAATAGCCGTACATCAGAGAGCAGTACATAGAAGTCAAACAGGAAGCTGGGCCCAGCCGAGTCCTTTGTCTGTGGTAAATGCGCAGGAGCTCAGATTTCATAAATTTTCTTAACAAAAATGATTGATTTAAGAGAGGAATAAAATATAATGAGAAGGAAACTAGTGGCAGGAGAAATGTTATAAGAAATAATAAATGCAGAGACAACAATTCAATTAAGAAATATTCTATTAAAACTTCTAAACATTTGCTTAAAATGTAAAAAAGGAAACCCTAAGCATTTACAAGGCAAAAAATCAAACCCTGTAAACCGATTTAGAGACTGGAATTGATAGTTTTAAGCGGATTTAACCCCATGTTAAACTCGATTCATAGGATTAGAGGACATTTTTCAACAGAATATCTACGATGCGGGAGTTTTAAAACTTTGCCACTAAATTGCATGCGGCCAGCTGTTTTATGACTCCCTTTATGTAGAACGGCAAAAGTTGAAAATACGCCATAATAAAATTAGCCATTGAAGCGAATCGGGGAACCAGTCAAAACCAAGCCAAGGTTAGGCGTATCCCAACGAATTTGTCACCCTTTTCGTGATCAAAATTTGCAACCCCTCGTTTGATACGAGATTTTTTAAATTTAAAATTCGTTACAATTTCGAATGCACGAGTCGCGGATACAACTGAAGCAACTTGCCACTGGAAGGGTTCCAAAGATGCATGTTTATTTGCAATACTATAAAAGGAGGTAAAGGAGGAAGTCAAGAAGCCTCTGTGGAGCAAGTTCAAATCTAGAAATCACATTACTGTGATCCTTTTGTGCTTGGAATGCGCCTGCAGTGCGCTATCCACGATCCTTGATCCCTCTACCCAAAAACCAGGTGATGCGCTTGTCTGTTCTGCCGGAGCAGATGTGTTATCCTGCTGACGAGGCAGCCTGCAAGTTCCTCGTTCCGTCCTGCCACAATAGCAAATGTGTGAATGTTTCCACTGACAATGAAAGTGTTGCCTCATTTGAAATTCTGTGTACTCCTTTTTCCTCTTGCAGTTTTAGGGGTGATTTTTGGATCTAGCATCGATAAAAGGGTGTAAAGTGCGTTTCGATTTATGGAAAGATATAGCCGCGCATTATGTATATATAAAGAGAGAGTGCATTGGTAAAGATTTATGGTGATAGAGAACTATAGAGTCTGGCAATCCAATATCCTTGCATATCGCATGCAGTTTATCTACATAATTTTGGATATTGGAAAATCGTCTTGATAAAAATTTATCATTAATATTTAAAATTACTTTTTAAACGTAGAAAATGTTTTATATTGTAAAGCAAGAAATCCCTTGTAGCTTGAATTATAGGAATGTATATATATAAATATATACACAATACAATACATTTATGAACATTTTCTACAATCAAAATTAAAACCGCATAACTAAGCCAAAACTCATTGATTTTATATTTGGAAGACTTTCCTATCTTAGTTAAAAATAGGTAATAAACCTGCATACTCATTATACATTTAACCCCTATAACATTTTAAAATTAAAAAAAAATGAATTTACTCGGACATAGCTAGATCGACTCAGCTGTTGAGCTGATCAAGAATATATTGTTTCATAGGGTCGGAAATGACTCCTTTACAGGTTTCAAGCTTCTGACTAAGTATAAGCCCTTAGCTTTAATAAGCTTTTATTTAAATCAATTAGCTATAAAAAATAATGTTATTTATATTCTTCCAAAAAACTCTCATTACTTCCTATATATAATCCTTAAAGCCTTAGCTCCCCTTACCCTTCATTATAGAAATCATACCTCCTCCTGACTCCTTTTTAAAGCCCTATGATTTTCAACTTGTTTGCATGCACACACAAACGCCCTCGAAACGCCCACAAAAGGAAGTAGTATATTTCTAAATACAAATGAAAAAAGGAGACACCCAATCAAACCTCTGATTATATATCCTTTACCCGCTGCGCCATAGATTACCCTTCAACCAAAAAAGAGAGCCTCAATTAACTTCACGCAACCAAATCCTTTCAATTTGAATAACGGAGGGGAGATTGCTCAACAAGTGGCACTTAAAAATAATATGTAAAAAAAGGTGGCAAGGGTAACCCTTCACACCTCGTCGCTATCAAATGATATGTTAAATAGGGTTCAGAGCGGATCAACAGTTTGCCTTCTGTTCCGGCACTTGAGTTTTTTAAGCAGCCACAACCCTTTATTTTTTCGTGGAAGGAAGGATTTCCCCTTTTAATATTATTTTGACAATATTTGAATATGCATAATAGAGAGAGGGTGTTATCAAGAGGGGTTAGGGTTAGAGCTAGGCACCCTTGGCACTCATTTGACTCGCCTATTTGTGTAAAACCAATAAAAATGCGCTTTTAATTGGCAACTACTATCGGATGGGCATGGGGCAACCCTGCTAATGCCACGTCAATAAATTATAATATTCAAATCGGGGTGGTTTTGTGCATGTTTTTGCATAGATTAGTTGCACTCGGTTAGGGGTTGTCCGTTTAGGTTCGCACAATCGAGGTCCTTGCATAATTGCTTCGGCCAAGTAGAAATTTACATTCTGACAAATTGTTATTTCTGTTTTGTTGCCAAATAGAAGGGTCGTGTTAGGGTCAATGAAGCGAGGGAGTTGAAGTTTTGGAGGTCAAAAGAGCATGTATAGGGTCTCAGAAGGATGATCTCCTGTTTTAGCAAATGTAGCGACCAGGGGTTGTTTTCGGGGGAGGATGTGGGTGGGTTTTTCCACGGACAAATAAGTTTTGGTTGCATTCAGGGGAAAATGGTCAAACGGATATTTAAAGTTTTGCAATTTATAACAATGGACAATAATGAGCGGATATTTAAACAGAACAATGCTTCGTCTTTAATAATGGTTATTTAGGGAAAATTGAAATATTTTAGGGAATAAATCTATTTTCTAGAAATTATCGATAAGTAACAATAGTTCCTGCATGTTCAATGAAGATCTTGTCATTAAATAATTTTATTTATTTATTAAATTTTAAATATATTTAAACAATAAAAGAATACGAATTTGTCTTGTAATTCCTCATATCTTCAGCTTCTCCACCCTTTAAATTCTCGAATTTCCTATTGCCAAACCCAAAGGACTTCTGTTACGACTTCAGTCACACTTTGGTCACGTGCTGGTCCCTCAAACAGCACCTATAATAATATTATAGGTACCCCTCGTCTACCTAATGCCTCATACCAATAACAGAACCAAGGATCCAGTTCCTACCTAAGCCGAACCCAGGATATAAACTCTATAGAGGATAGGGATGCGGCAAGGGGATGCATGGCTGATTGCATATTGCAAAAAAAAAAGGAGAAATACTGAAAACTATAAAAACTGGCTGTCTGTCTGTCTGTCCGTGGAGTAATCAATTTAGCCACAAAGTAGCCACGTTCCGACACGAGTCGGCAGCAGCATAAAAAAAGGACATGCCAGCTGAATGCTGTCCAAGGATTAGCCATATATACATATTAAATAGTAAAATATATTACCTGATAGTGAGCGCAGCGGTGAGGGCGGTGTGGGTGAGTTGGACATGTGCCGCATAACTGCAATGACAAAATACAAAACATATTTTTATATTTTAATAATACTTTTGAGGCAGAAAAACTCAAATGCAAATGACACGTACTTAAAGTCAAAGGCAGACATGGAAAATAAATCCATAAAAGGGAGATGGAGCTATGTCCAGGGTGTTTTCATATCATGTCTGGATCGTAAAATGTCCATTAGGAATTCGGACATATACATAGTATACACCGTTTCTGATGGCAAATATAACATGCAAAATTGTTCTTTCTCGCCTCAGCTGAGTGCCCTGTGTTGTAAAATTTTTAAGGATCAATTTCCGCAAGGAAATAATACTTAAAGTAGTTTCACACTATTTTATGGTCATTTCGCTCACTGTGAATATTTTTGAAGTGATTCAAGCAAGATTGTATAAGAGATTTGAGTGTAGAAGTATTTTAACAAAGTTTTTAACAACACTTTAAATATTTTCTTAAAAAGAGGGCACCTTTTGTGATTATATCTTTACAAATTAGATTTATTTTCATAGAAGTTCTTTCCCAATCAGGTTTTAAATTAATTTTAATGTTTACAAAAATATTTGTATAATATATTTAATAAAACATAATATATACTTCTTATAATAATTTACTAATAGATATATTAATTATATTAAAACTAAAAAAAACTCTTCGATTTTGCCCTAAAAAGTCCTGAAAACTGTCACAAAAATCCTTCTCTCTCTCTCTCTTTCTCTTCCTTCCCTTATCCACCGTCCACTTTTTCGTCCTTTCGCTCAGGCTTCCCTTTTTTTGTACCATTTGGTTTTTTGTTTGCAAAGTAGATATTAAATTTATAGCTCCCTCGGGGCGTAAGCAAGTAGTATCCTTTCTGGGGCTGGGAAGGCAGGACAATGGGCAGCAGGAAAAAAGTAACATATTTTTACGACAATATATTGTTTGTGAGAATACTCCGACTTGGGGAATCCTTGTGCATAATGTCTCCAATGCAGGACAATATAAATATACAGATTACCATTGGCCATTCGGTTGGCGTTGTCCTTGTGGTCGGGTAATGGTTTTCCCCCGTTGGGATTGGGGCCAGCTTAGGCAGTGGCAGTGGCAATGGGTGTGGGGTGACCCTCACACCTCACTTGTTGGCAGGATAACAAGTGGCATTAGTCAAAGGATCTATGGGATTTGGCAGAGGAGATGATCTGCATGTTAGCCTTGGAATATGTATTCCCTTTTCTCTTCTTTTTTTTTATACCCACACCTTCGGCTTAAATGTAATTACAGAAAATTTGCCTTTTGTGGCTAAATTGGTTGCTTTTCCTTTGTTCTTTTACCAACTACCAAAAAAATCTCTGCTCCTTAGGACATCGTTTTCTCCCTAAAAAAATGCCTCAGGAGGAAATGGGTAGAAAAACGTTTCGTTTTGTCTTTGTTCAAATGCAAAATACCCTCAGAAGAAAAAAAACGAGACAACGTCTTGGACACAGGTAAAAGGACACTCTGCAGGATACAAATGTAAACACAAGCGAAGCGACGATCACACGCTCGCACAGTGGGATGTCAAGGACAGCTGCTGGCTAAAAACGACACCGCCAGGAGCAGCAGGACATCGCATCAAATCTATTGCAAAACGCCATGAAATCGTTCATCTGATAGGGAAATTGTCTGTGTGTGCCTGTTCTATATATATCCTGATCTAGACCCTCTTCCCGGAATAATGTGTGGGCGTGTAATCATCATCGGTGTCCTTTGTCTATTCCTGGCTGGTTACCTTTCTTTCTGTTGGCCTTTTTCTGGTGGAAATTATTGCTCCAAGAAAGTGAAAAGTTGTATTTTTTTGGTAACAGGTACAAAGTCGCATTAATTTGGTTAGGATTTGGGTTTTCTTTTGGGTTTGTTTTTATGGTTGGTTGCTTAAGGTATAATTTTTAAAATTAATAATTAACTGATATTTTGAATTGCAAAAGATTATTTAAACGAATTTTAAAGTTGTTGTAAATAATATGAACTACATTATAATATTTAAAAATCAGGTAATGCACTTTGTTGATTCACATAAATTACTTTTGATTTTTGAGCAGTAAAATGTATCATAAAAAGTAAGTACATAAATGTCTAAGATTTATCTATACCATATTTACTTAATTTTAATGTTTCTATCCTTTTAACTGTTAAATGTCCTCATTTCTTAACTTGCATTCCAGATTTCCTACTATATTTCCATATATTTAAATTAAATTAAGGGTTTATAATCCCCAAACACCTGACAATCCTTTTCGGAAGTCCTTTTTTATAATAAAAGCGACTTGGCAACTCTAGAAAACTCACATGTGTGTGCTGTCGTTGTTGTTGTTGTTGCTGCTGAGGTAAGGTCCTTGCAGACTCTAATTTTGGTATCTCCACATTTTCAGGTTGTTGTGTCGTTTGTTGTGCCAGTTGTGTGTTTGTGTTTGACGTTGTGAGTTTTTTGGCGGTGTGGTTGCCTCCCAGAGACACCGCTGTTGTTGTTGCTGTAGCACCATCATTTTCGATTTCAGTTTATGTTAATTTATTGTTAATTTATTAAATTAAAACCAGCACTTGATATAGATATATATTCCACGAGGAGTAAGGTAAAAAGAACGTCTGCGATTTGTTTTTTGATTTCTCAACTTTGTGACGTTTCTTTGGATCTTTTTTGTTTAAGTTAAGATACTTTTTTTTTGCTAGTTGAGGCGACCGAAGCCGAAGAGTAGCCGAATGCAACTGACTGAATACGAGAAGACGAAGCGACTTGCTGCACTCGCTGTGGGACCCGTTATGTGCCGAGCATGCTATCCCGCACACACACTTGCCCTGTGACCCTCTCGCTCTCGCTGCCTTACGCTTATGATTTGCAGTGGCAGTTAGTTTTTCCACTCACTCACTCCACTCATTCCACTCACTCTACTCAAACTTCTCTCACTCGATGAGTCGCACTCACAATCAACCCTGCACCGTTAGCCGAATACATCCGGGTGTGTGTGTGAGTGTTGGTGAGTGTGGAACGTATTCTTTGTCGCCTGCATTCTGATCAGAATTTCCATTGCACTCCATTGTTGCTGCCTTCCCCTGAATTTTCCACTTTTTCCCTGCATTTTCCTGCATTAGCATAGGCCACAACTTGACTTCTCCTCCAGGAATGGGTGTGGCCTATATATATATATATATATATATATATTTGTATATATTATGCATTTACCACGATTTCCCTTCGATTTTTCCTCTGATTCTCTTATTTTCCCCCCAGATTTGTTCTGCGCAGTATGCATATTGCAATTTGCTCTCTGTTGGTTAGTAAATCATAATTAAGTACTATATATTATATATATTTGGCAGAAGGTAATGTCTGGTTGATATATATACATAAGAGGGGATATATAGTCAGGAATTGAGGGGTCAGTCTAGGGGCAAAAGTGGAGGTAGCTCCAAATTTGGTAAGATTCTTATAAAATGTTGTACATTTATGTAAATCAAAGAAATGTATCCTAAATTGTATATATTTTATGATATCCTTTATGGTACCTTTTTATAGACAATAAAATTTAAATAATCTAATATAAAGATTGATTGGATTTATATTACAAATCAAATCGATTTGATTCTAAATTATTTAAAAAATAATGTTTATCTATAGTTTAAATTAATATATAAACATAATGAAACCCCAATTAAACCCTAATTAAATACTGAACATATTTCCCTTTTAAGGGCAGTAACTATTACTCTATTTCTTTCAAATTGTGTTATTTATAATAAAACCCAATTTTTTATTTCAATTCCATTGAACTCCTACAACTCATTGGTCACAGAATTTCCAGGATCCAGCAATCCTGACTGCAATCGTCCTGCCATCTAGCTTCGAGCACATTTCAGTGTGATTATATAAACACAAAACCCATTCATATAAACATCAGCGCAGCCATTGAACCGAGACTTTGGTCGAGTAATTACAACAAGTGTTGTTTGTTGCGTTCTCTCATTCTGAACAGCTTCCTCCCACACCCACTTACACACACACAGATGTACTAGGATTTTCCTTTTCCTCTTTGTTTTTGTATTTCCTGAAAGTAAGGAAAAGCGTAGGGAAAGGGTCTTGTGGTGACAGCGCATACATTTTATGATTATGACTGTGACTGCGGCTGCATTTTTCTTAGCTTTTCTTTTGGCTCTTTGGAAAAGTTTTGTGCAAGTTTCAGGCGGAAAATAATGGGGAAAGAATTCTTATATTTTCCTTTAGCTGACCTGGGCCCATATCCCATTCCATCTGAAATGTTTTAATTAAAACTGCAAAATTATTGATTTTTGCTTTCTTTTCGTTTTAAATACATTAAATAACTTAAAAGTTTAAATGATCATATAATCATAATCACTATTTAATAAAATCTATAAAAATCCCTCCTCTTAAATCAATTTAAATAAATAATAATACGAATACCACACCCTTTATTTACACATAACATCTCATTAAAGTGCCAAAATGATTTAAGAGCCAACATCGAAACAAGAAGAATGAGGAAAATCAATAGCAATCGTTCGATTCTTTCCCCAAAAACTAATTTCAATAGTTATCCTTTTTGGGGTCCTGGCATTCCTGCTGCTGCTCCTGCTGCTGATTAAACTTGTCACTGGGAGACAAAAGATAAACAGTTCCTCACTTTGGATAGTTTCCCCTGTCTGTTACTTCGTTGGGCGGTGTCTAGGCAATTTGATTATTTGCCAGGAGCAGACAGTCAGGACAACCCAGACAGGACACACACTGACCGAAGACAAAAAAAAAGAAAGAGGAAGAAAAAGGGGAGGCACACCCTCACCCACACACACACACATGTGCCAGTCCTGGCAACATAGAAGTTTTCGGGCATTGAAATTAATCAAGAAAATAAACGCTTGGCAGCATCGTCGCAAATTTATATAAGTTGGGGGGGAAAACCACACACACACACTTTGCATGACGGAAACAGACGGGACAAGGGCAAGGACATCGTCCAGGATCAACAGTGGGAGTGGGAGTTGCCGGGCTGAAGCTCTAACCCGGAACCCGGGTAGGTTGTGGTTGTGAAAACTCGGACATTTCCCTGTCGCTTCTCATTCAGCTATTGCAACGCATTAAAATGACATACCAATTTGCGTTAAGCAAATAAGACGAGACTAGCATTTGGGTTCTGGTCTATAGTTAGTTTTACTTTGGACTTTGGGACAGGGAAAATTGGGAGGAAGGTTAAGTGGTTGAGGGGGGGTCAGTTCTGGGGGTTCATAGCCTTGTGATGGGTGGTTTCTGCATGGTTTTCCTGGGGTTTTCCTTCGGAGCCTTGGGGTTCGATGTAAAAACGCAATTTGCAGGATAATTTATGCGTACAATTTTATATTGAATGTACATTTACCTATTTGTACTAAAGAGGAATATTAAATAAATAAATAGTAAATAACATAACATAAATAAAACAGATGAGAGAAAACTACGTTTTTCAGGAAATCCTTGGAAACTTACAAAGAAAAATGAACTGTCATTATATTAAGAAATTAAATATTAACAAATATGTATATCACATCTTTCAGGTTCTCAGAAACTTAGTAATCTATATATTTCCTTAATTTAATTCATTCCTACTCAAAAATATTTCACCTTTCCAACAAAACCCCTCAAAAAAGTAACGTATATTTTAACCAAGACTTATTTTCTTTATCCCAAAATGGGTTAAAAAACAGGCACATAAATCAACCATACTTGTACCCATAAAAATTGTGAGAAAATTTTGCAAAAATTCCGTTAGATATCCCGTACTTAATCAGAGTCCTGGCACCCAGAAAAAATACAATATATATAAAAAGGAACCGCAATTTTTCGTGCCTTTTTCTCACCCTCCTCGAAGACATAAAAATCGCACAAAAAATCACCCAAAAAAATGTTATGCCCTTTGTTCAATTTGAATTTCTTTCAATTTCGAGCTATTTTACCTTAAACAAGAAAGGAAGCTAACTTCGGCACGCCGAAGTTTATATACCCTTGCAGATAGAACTTCTATAAATAGAATACAATATAAATTATATATATTTGTGTTAAAAAACAATGAAGTAATACCTGCTTTCATTTCATTCACCTATACATATTATATTTGCAGTTTTACATTCACAGATTTGCATTTTCCTCTACATCAAACGATCGTTTGTATGGCACCTATATGATATAGTCGTCCGATTTTATGAAATTTGCCACAAAATTTAAGACTTATATAAAATGGCTATACCTCAAATTTTATGAAAATCAGCTGAAAACTAAAAAAGTTATAAATTTAATTGTATTAATTTCTCGATCGTTCCTATGGGAGCTATATGATATAGTAGTCCGATTTTCATAAAATTTTACACAAAATTTTAGAATAATATGAAATGGCTATATTTCAAATTTGATTAAATTCTGTTGAAAACTAAATATGTTATCGCCACCGCGATTGTCAGTCTTCCGACAACAGCCACCGCCATCCTCATTCCTCTCAAATTTCTCGATCGTTCCTATGGGAGCTATATGATATATTAGTCCGATTTTCATAAAATTTTACACAAAATTGTAGAATAATATAAAACGGCTATATCTTAAATTTGATCAAATTCTGTTGAAAACAAAAAATTTTATAATTTTTTTTGTAAAACTTTTCCGATCATTCCTATGACAGCTATATGATATAGTCGTCCGATCCGGCCCGTTCCGACATATATACGAGTGAGAGTATATAGAAGACTAACTGCAAAGTTTCATTTAGATAGCTTCAAAACTGAGAGACTAGTTTGCGTAGAAACGGACAGACGGACAGACGGACAGACGGACAGACGGACAGACGGACAGACGGACAGACGGACATGGCTAGATCGACTCGGCTGTTGATCCTGATCAAGAATATATATACTTTAAATAGTCGGAGGTGCCTCCTTCACTGCGTTGCAAACTTCTGACTGAAATTATAATACCCTGCAAGGGTATAAAAATTACGCATTATTGGGGTACATTCACCCTTAGGTAGACAGAGAGCCCAAAAACTAAGGGGTTGGTGCTACCCCTTGGTGTGGCGAATGCCAGTTTACCTTTGAGCTAAGCTGTGGAAGATCTTGGGTAATCCCTGACAGTGATCCTCAATTTTTACCCTTGAGTCCCTGTCTCTGTCTCTGTAGTTTTTCCTCACAAAAAAACGGCGCGCAATTTTCTTCGGCATTGTGAGATGGTAAAAATTGGAAGAAAATGCATTATTTTTTTGGTTGAAATTTTCTGCGAAGGGTTGTCGATTGACAGAGATTTTCTGTGGCAGATTGGCCCGAGGACGGGACAGAGCCTCTGGCAAGTCGAAATCAATAAACGTTAATAAATAATCCAAGAAGGGAAGAAGATGCGGCGCTAGAAATGCGGAAGTAAAGGGACATTTTGGAGGCTGCTTTTGTCCTCAATTCTCTATTGATTTCCGCTTTTGGTGGCGCAGTTTCCTCATCGATTTGCAATGGGTTCAATCGGGTTTCTTTCTTATATTTTGGCGCGTTATTTTTAAGGGGTTTTTTGTATATGTTTTTTTTGTGTTTTCTGATCTGCAGATGGAAAGAGTTAATAAGTTTTTGGAGGGAACGTGGTTTCGAGAGGGTTCTCCTTAAGATTTTGTAACGGTTTGGAAATAGGTTTTAATAGAAATTAAAGGTTTCGAAGCTTAAAGGCTATGTTTTGATATTTGATTGAAATAGTTTTAGAAATTGTGTACTTGAAAATGTATTTGACTGTCTTAAAAGGTTTTATAAAAATCTGGTGATTATTAGTTCAAAACTTTCAACAATTTTATAACCCTCTATTACACTCTGATTTCCTGAAAACCAAAGCCATTTTCTATCTCTCAAGAAACTCCCACAACCTCCAATCAATTTATGCAAATCTAACCCTTATGGCGCAACCATTTTGAGTCTGTGAAGAAATTTAAATCGCATTTAAATAAAAGTGGTGGTGGTTTAAAAATAAAAGTAAAGAAAAATGGATTTATGATCTCAGCTTTACAGCTTGTAAAGCGTTTTTATTGGATTTACGGCCACCCTTGACGGAGTTTGGTCCCCGGGGCGGGGCTCAATTGGCCATAAGCTGCTCAGAGTACCGGGTCACAGTTGGTAGTGACACCAGTTTTGCGTCAGAGCTTTTCTTTTGGATTTCCCGTGTGTGCGTGGGGTGAGTTCTTTTTTTTCGTGTCCCTGTCAAAGGTTACCTCATGCAATTGTGGTTCGCTTGTGCGCCTCAAGCAACCTTTTTCCAACTACCCCACATACACAACCACCCACCGAATGGAATGACCCATGCCCCCTGACCCAACCACTCACCACCACCCACTGGCCGCACAAAGTGGTTTTAAATTCCATTAAATAAAGTTGTAAAGGTTGCTTTCGATGGATGGAGAGTTTTCACGCATATTTTGTTCGCACTTTTGTAAAATTTATTAATATTTTAGTGATTTTAAATGGAGTTTGTATGTTTGAGGGGGATTTCCCTTTCTATTTCCAAGCTTTTCTGTTCATTTTGGAACTTTGGGGTAGGTGATACTATGGAATCTATTGTATTAAATTGAGAGCTGGTAATTGAGTTTGGATTTTCTTGTCTTATTTTGAGTGCTTTGGATTTGAGTTTCTATGAAATTAAACTTAAGAAATGAAAAGAGTTTTGTATGGAAACTAAAATTACCTGTTATTTTGAGGGAAAAGTACGAATTGGTATAATAAGAACTATAATTTCCTAATTAATCTAAACAAAGAAGAATTTCACATGAAAATTCCCTTCTAAATACATCTTTTATAAACTCAAATATCATATTTATTTTCCACCTAACCCATTTCCTTTGTTTTCTTACCTTTACCTGTAAAAAAACAATTAATTCGAGCATAAAACTTACCTTTGTTGACGGGACGACAATGTCGACCGTTTGGTGTTGGTTGCTCGTAAATGTCGTGGTCCTTGGGCGGAGCTGCTGGAGTTGGCGAGGATTGGGGTAGAGGCAGGACCTCCTCCTTAGGTAGAACAGTGGGTTGCATTGTCGTGGGTGGTAGCAGCTTTCTAGCCAGACCATTGCCATCACAAACGACCTCATGCCAATGATGTTTATGTTCAGCTTCCTGAGACTGCTCCGGCTCCAGCTCAAGCTCTTTTCGAGGCTCTTGCTCCTGCTCCTGCTCCTGGAGGATATCCTCCTCGTCCCGCAACTGCTGCTGCTTGAGCTGATGCTCCCGAATAAGGCGATCCCGTTCGTGGAAATGCCTCACGAACAAGTGGTCACCATTGGGATGATGATGATGATGGTGGTGCTGGTGCTGTTGCTGTGGCTTCGGTGGGGTTAACGACTTGAATGTCTCCGTTTTGGGAGGATAGACGCCGGCTACCAAACTGCCCGGCAGACTATTAATTAATGTGCCCATTGTCCTTTGCTGGTAATGATGTTGTTGGAACATAATTTCGTGCAGCGGTATTAGAAATTCTGGCAGGGATTTCTGACGCTGCTTGACCAGCGTTTCCATGCCAAAATAAGAGACCGGCAGACATGTCTGCTGCTGCTGCTGCTGCTGCTGCTGACCATCCTCCATTGGCAGGACACGGCTACAGGCGGAAGTCATCATCTGCGGAATGGCGATGACATCCTTGTCCCCGGCACTATTATAATTATGATATCCAATGCCTTCGGCGGGCCTTAGATACCAGGGATTTAATATTGTTTTGTTGCCACGACAGCTTGTAGTAGCAGCCAGCGCTATAAATCACAGAGAAAGAGATAGAAAAACACAACCGTATAAAAAAAGGGTTTTCAGCAATTGCATTTTTATAGACTAGACCCGGAAAATGAAGTGAGAATTGGTTGATTTTTCTCCCCAAAAAATACAGGAAGTGATAAAGCTGATCAAAATGGGCTAAAAAAAGGGTAAAAAAAGGGGTTATCGATATCATTATCAACACTTGCTGGCTTTTCACCCCTCAGCAACCCTCCTCCAACCCCTTTTTCTCGCTAGCATATTGCCAATGGAAACCGTTTATGTCACTATCAATTACTCATCATTATGGAACTCTGATACGCCTTTCCACCTTATAGACACCCCTTACCCCCATTTGGTTACGCTTTTTTGTAGTTTGTATTTTTTCAGTGGGGGTTGTATGTCATAGATTCGCCATATTTTGTTTTTCAATCAGTTTAGTTTTTTTTTTTTTGTTCTACGCCAATCTATTCATTTATGACTTTGATTGATTATGAAATCAGATAAAGTGTGTGGAGGGAAGCAGAATTTGAACATTTGTTCAATATCAAAGTGTGGGCGTTCTTAGTCATCTTCGAAACTGAGTGGCACGCCCTTCGATGAACGTTTTTGGGGTAACTCTATTAGAGGCAACTAATGGAGGTAGAGTGCTTTTTGGTGGTGTAAATTTTGATAAACTGGTTAGAAAATGCATTTTTAAAAAATGTTTGTAAAAAAAAAAAAATACGGACTGCGGGAAGTCGAAGTTTGTATATCCTTGCAGTTTGGTATTGGATCAGAGTTAAATTGATCATAACTATGCCAAAAAAAGCATTAATTTCAATTCGGAAAGCTGACATATGTTAGTTTTTATCAGGTTAATAAATCTGCTTACTAAATTAACTTTTTTTTTAATTTCAAATTAAACGTTATATAAAATGTTCAAATGTTTTGAAAAAATTAAATTTTGGTTGGACATAGCTTGATTTACTCGGATGTTGATGGTGATCAAGAATATATATGATTTATAGGGTCGGAAATGACTCCTTCACATCATTTCGAGATTGTGAATACAATTATAATACCATTTAAGGGTATCAGAATTAAACTTCGGAATTATTTGTTTTAAGAAAGTAAATAATTCAGGAATAATTAACTTTATTAATATAAAATCACTTAAATGTGTTTAAATGTGTAAATATGAATTAAATTCAACCTTATGTTGCAATTATAACCACGGTTCGAGTCTAAGCTGATCCAGGAAGTGTTTTGGAAATGGGCAGCAGATCTCTCTCACTCTCTGGCGCCTCTTTCCAATAAGCCGAAGCAATGCCTCCTTCCAATATGACTTGGAGAGCTCTCCCGATGGCCATGCAAATTCAGTTTATCCAACGACGCCGGTCGGAGCGGGAGTAAAAAATGAAAAAATCTCCATGCAGGTGGTCGCCGCGTCGGTTAACGGTGAAAACAAACGGAAAATTACCACAGAAAACTCGGTTTTAAGTTTGAAAAGTGCGAAAAATCAGTAAGCCCCCGCAGTGAAAAGTGTTTGTAAAGCGGGGGCAGACCGGGCCGTGGTCGTGTGTTTTTTTTCAATTACTAAACGCCTGTTTGTATACGTGTAAGTACATATAAATGCAAATATATATGTAAATACATATATACTTAGTCAAGATCAGTGCGCTTTTCTTGGCTAGTTAAGTTTTTTGTTTTTTGTTATGTGCAAGTGAAAATCCAAGCAGGCAAAGTAAATGTATTCGCGTTTTCAAAACCTTCAATAAGACAGCTTAATTTCATCTTTCTCGTCCGTTTTCGTATACCAATTCGCCGTTGGGAGCTGCAGCTGCTACATGCAGCGTAATGCGAGTGAGTGAAACAAACTGATTTTCATAATCCTTTTCGCCCGCCTTTTTGTGCATTTGCGCGCGGAATTTTTGGTCATCTCCTATACTTCAATCAGTGCTGCCGGGTTATCGGCAGCCGTAGCACTTATAAGCTAAAAAAGCTATATACAAAGAAGATAAATAAAACCTGCCAGATAGTTTTCGGTTAAAGTTAACAGCACTAAATTTATTATTAAAAATAGTGTTTAGAGAGGTAAAAGTACGCCAGATTCCATTTGAACCCCCATAATTTGGCAATTATAATGCGCTAGATCTAGCGGGAAAATAGGTTTATCATTGTGGTCATTTCAAATATGCTACATGTTGCCAGAAAAAAAGCTAAACTGACATCCACAATTGAAATACCCGTAGGAAGTACCGTAACTGACTTTGTACGCTCTCTCGCTCTGGAAGTTGGAACTTAAGTATAAGCGCAAGAGTCTCTTAAAGAGAATACGAAGCCTTTTTGTGGCATGTGAAGATCTGCGCTCTTTGTTTTCCTTTTTTCTCTTGGCAAATTGAAAAAAAAGAAAAGAAAAAATAAAAACAAAAAAGTAAAAGCCAGCAAAACTTAATGACTTATATAATTATATGCTTATATTACTATATAATTTTTTATTATTATTTCTAACATTATTGATTATATTCGTCTTCTTATATTGAAATATAATTTTAATTTATTACCATATGTGGGGAATTTTAATCCTTTTTCTTACATAAAAATAACCCATTAACCCATATTGTCCACTTATTCCGTCCATTAACCCGTCCAATAGCACAAGAACTTAATAAGTTATTGTATGTTGATGATGATTATGTAAAAAGCCAACAATTTTCCTGTCCTTTATATAGTTTTTTCGATATGTATTTGATATTTCAACGTTGAGATAAAGTATAAAAGATCATGGCTCACAATCCGCCTAAAACCTTTAATAATTATCCAAAAATATATCTAAAAATATCTCACTTTTTTCTTTTACAATCAAACAAAAAACCCAAAGCGCCATGTAAAACCCCAAATGATGTAAAATCAACGCTTTACACTTTTCCGACCCACATTATTTATGCCCTTTGCTACTGCTTCAGCTACTGTATGGCGCATGATCACTTCATTGTGAGATCATTTATGAATCCCAACATTCAGAAGCACAGAACTCAGTTCATGAATGAAACTCTGACCTATGGCTAATGATGCACAAAGATAGAAAAGCATCAAATACAATTGCCAAGGCAACCGCAAAATGTTCATTAGAGCGCCAAAAACTGTTTGAATAATGAGAGAAGTTCACGAATCACAGAGTCCGGGGTATAATTGTGATTGTAGCTGGTCAGATCGGATCACAGAGACGATGTTATGGGTATTAATTTGATTTATACCCGACGAGGGGGTCAGGTAGAACAAAAGCCGGCAAAAGCCGCAGGAAAGTCATTTCCCATTCTTTTTGGCTAAGGTACAGATTTAACCAGAGGAGTGGAGGGTAGAGGTTTCTTTGGCATAAAAATAATGAAAATATTAGTTAACGCTTAACCCTCTGTCACCCCAGCGGCTCGTGCTGGCCACGTGACATCTTAAAGATGCAGAAAGGGTTGAGTTTGTGACGACACACACCGGAAATGGAACAAAAAAGTCGGATGTTATCCGGGGGTTATGGGTATTTAGCTGATTTCAAGCTGCAATTGGAATCGGGAAAGGGTTTTATTTATTTAAGAAATTATTAAAAACTTTTTATAGAATTTAAAAGTAGGAAGAATTTTATACACAACATAAAAATGGGTTTTCAAAAGCATATTCAATTGAAACTAATTATATTTTTAATGGTTTTTAAGTCAAATAAAATATTCAACATTTTAAATGAAGATCTTAGATTAAAGCTTAGGCTTATTCAAATTCTAAATTTTTATATAAAAAAGGAACTAGGATTATAGTTCATTCAAGACTATACAAATTCCCTTTCAGTTTTATTTCCTCCCATATAAAAATTATATAATTTTTTTTGTCACCACCGAATGCGAAGCGTGCCATGTATTATGAAAATGAAATAGGGGGCGGTTTGGGTAAGTCAGCTGACTTTCAATTATTTGGAAAGGCTTCCTGTTTCTATTAATGATTTTCCTTCAACGCCGGCTGTCAATCGCCTTGAATACTCGTGCCAGTCAAGGTCCTTTTCAATTGATGCAATCTCTCGAAAGGGGGAAAACTCTCTTTCACTTATTCGCTGAAAGATGAAGATCCAAAGGTGAAAGTTTCAATCGAATGAGAAGGACGTTGTCGTATCCTTGCTTGCACAGTTGCCGCAGAGCAGCTGCGTTAGCCGCACAAGCCGCAATTGTTAAAAAACTGAACATTAAATCCTTTTTCAGGCTCAATTTGATACAGAAGCCGCGCACATCCTTTGGGCCCTCGGCTCCTAAGCCTGGCAAGCTGTTTCAACGAAATCCAAGGCGCTCCAAAAGGGATCCTCCTGCCATAGCTGTCTTCCTTCTTTCTCGGTTTTTTCTTCTGGTATTTTTTGGCATTGTTACTTTGTGCGATTATATTTACCTGCAACATGGCGATTAACGCGCATCCTGCTTTACCTGAGCAAGCAGGACCTCCTCTTTATTGCTTTCCTATGCGCTTTGATTTCACATTGCGGCAACATCCTTTATCCTTTGTCCTCCATTGTTGCATGCACCGGCTGGCAAACACATTAGAAAAAGTGAAACGAGGGGGAAAAGCAAAAAAAAAAAAAAAGCAAAGGGGAAACCCCGGAGAAGTGACGGGACCAGTTGGCGATCCTTTCTTTTGGCGCGTTTTCAATTACGCAATACCTTGGCAGGAAAATTCGCTGAATATCTCTATTTTCGTCTGTTTGAAATTAGTTTTTTTTTATGATTTTTCTTTGGAAATATTTTTAATTGAGAAATTGGACCACACAGCAGCAGATCTGCTTTAGACATTCAGTTGGGTAATTGAAATTTTAAGCCATAAAAAAGGTTATAAAAATATGAAGAGGGTAGCTCTCTATTCTCTAAAATAATGTTATATTATGATTTTTAAATACAACATAAGATTGAATTTATTTGATATTTACACATTTCAACACATTTAAATAATTTTAATTAATACACTTAATTATTTCTGAATTATTTACTTCCTAAAAACAAATAATAACGAAGTCTGATTCTTATACCCTTAAAGGGTATTATAATTTTAGTCAGAAGCTCGTAATAATGTGAAGGAGTAATTTCCGACCCCATAAATCATATATATTCTTGATCAGCATCAACATCCGAATCGATCTAGTTATGTCCGGCCAAAATTATTTTTTTTCTAAATTTTCACATTTTTTTAATGATGAAATCATCGTTAAAGTTGTCAAACATTTATACAAATTTTGAATTATTTGTAAATGTTAGATTTAGTATGCAGATTTATTAAACTGATAAAAACTAGCACAGAACAGCTTTCCGAATTAAAATTAATCCGTTTTTTTTGCCTAGTTATGAGTTTCTGAAAAGTTGAAATTGTTATAAAAAATATCAATAAATATTGATTCTAAAGTTTCAAAAATTTTAAGCTTTCCTATAGGATCCTATAATTCAATTGTAAACTGAAAGGTTTGTAAATTTCGGCTTCCTTAACATAGTTTCGTTTTTTGTGTTTAAATATATTTTACTAATATACTAATGGAATAAATAACTCATAACTTTAGTTTTGTTCAAAAATTTTGTATATGTATTATATGTGAGCTAAAAGGTATAAATATCTTTATTTATGACAGTGAGGCAAGCTTAAAATAATAAAACCTATAAAAAAATCTAGATAAGCTAAAAAATTATAAATATTTCGTTTAATACACAATGGATAATTTCTTTTATTAAGGCCTTTTTCTATACTCTTATTATCATATTCTCTTAAACACACATTCTCTAAAAAAAACCCAAAATCAGTTCGTTGAATAAACAATTTATACACTTTAACCTCAAACACTTTTTCAACACATAAATTGAAATAGAATACTTTTTGTACAAGCTCCCCAAACAAACCATTTTCTGCAATTATTTTTGTTATTTAAATAACAGTTATGGTACTATTCCAAGAGCTATCACTATGGGCGCAGCTCATGATAATATATATTGCGCCAACTGACTGATGTAACGAGTCTATTCGCAGACAGATACGTAACACACACAAAACAAAATAAAATAATATATATTTTAAACAAAATCAACCGGCAGCAGCAGCAGAGTTAAAAACCATTTAGAAATGTTTGCATTATAATTGCGGTGATTATTTCGGAACGGGGTCATTAACATGTAACAATAAAAAATAAATAATAAAATAAAACAAAAAGGCAGACCAACAAACAAAACCTGGAAAGAGACAAGATCTCCGAAGAGTGATAAAATCCCGAATTTAGGGCAACTGGGAGCTTTCTTTGCCAACGAAATGATAAGAGCTCTTTTTTCATTCTTTCTTCTTTTTATTTTCCCTCTGTTGTTTGGTGGAGAATTGCGGTTAATTGAAGAATGCAAAGATTTGGCGCGAAAGATTTAAAAGAATTCTAAGGTAGAACCATAAATTGTTTCACTAATGTGATTTCTGTGGTGAATCTGAGTCTGCTTTTGGAGTGTGTGTGTGTTGGGTATTACCTAAGCCACTGAAGCGTGTGCTTTTTTTTCGACCCTCGAATCTGCCCCCCTGGAATCGGATCGGATGATTCCGTATATAAATTGCCTAAGCGCGTTGCCAAAAAAGTTTAGAACTTTTCTGTCTGCTGGCTGGTTCACAACTCGAAATTAAATTATTTGCTTGCCGTTTAAATTGTTTTTTGTCTGTGTTTAGAGCCATGGTCATGGCTCTGTGGGCCACGTTAATATCGCTCACGTTAGCCGGTCGTGTTTTGGTTTTTGCCAGCGATCTCTTCAGCCTGCCACCTGCCACCAATCACAGCGAGGAGCTGCTTGAGGATTATGGAAAATTCCTGCTGTCTGCCATGAACAGGAGCATCGATCCCTGCGAGAATTTTTACGAGTTTAGCTGCGGTGGCTGGAAGAAAGCGGAATTGGTGCCGGAACAGGCCAGGAATACTAGCTTTCTACATGCCATACAGCACAAGATTGATGAGCAAGTAATGGAATTTCTTCAAAATGCCACCAAAAGGGAATTGGAGGATCTGGGTGTGAATGGCACTAGATCGGCGGAGGTGAAAGCCAAACAATTCTATGCCAGCTGTGTGGAAGTCAAGGCCAATTTGTCTCTCGGATATCAGTTTCTTCAGGATCTAGATGAGGATCGTCTCAAGGAAAGCAACGCCACCTATGACTGGTTATACATCAACTTTATGTCCAAGTATGACTTGTATCCTTTGCTGCCTTTAAAAGTTCATTATAGCACATCCTCAAGGAAGTTTGATATACTCTTGAGTACACCCAGTAAGGTCCTAGCTGGTTTCAGCGAAGAGCAGCTTAAAAATATGACCAAGGAGTTTGGATTGGATGCCAGTGCAGAGAAAACTAAACAATTTCTGGAGCACTTTAAGAACCTCACGGAATTTGAAAGGAATTTAACTTCCATAACCAAACCACGAAATGAAACAGAACAGTTGAATCTTAAGGATTTCCTGACCAAACACAAACACGATCGCCTTAACTGGACTCGCTATTTTGACCTTGCCTTCAATGGCAGTCAGGAATCGTATTGGCCAGTCCTAAATCAGTTGGATAATGTCAACGATTTGGTTTATTTTCTGGAAGAAACTCATCTGGATACTCTGAAAAGTTATGTGAAAATGCGGGAATTGCTCAAGTTTTATGGCTTGTGGAAAACGCAAACTAAGACAGGAGGAGTACCCAGCGAGTGTCGCTCCTTGACGGAGACTTACTTTAACTACGCCCTTTTACCTTGGTTCATAGGCAAGGTATTCGACAAGGAACGACGCGCTGATATACTCCGTGTGGCTAAGGATATTAAGGACACGTTCTACGATCTCCTGGATCACTACACCTGGCTGGATGATGAGACCCGTTCGCAGGCCAAGACAAAGCTGGCTTCAATGGACGTTCTGGTGGGCTACACCGATGATCTGCAGCATCGTGAGGTGATTGATCAGGTGTACAATGATATCAATATGACTGGAAATTGGTATGAGAACCTTTGTATCCTAGAGGAAGTCGTGCCAGGATAAGACTGCGTTCCGTGGACAAGGCACTAATTCCCCTGCTGATGCCCACGAGGACAGTTAATGCCTATTATGCGGATTCCTTAACCTGGCCTTCATCACAATTGGCATGGCCCAGTGGCCCTTCTATCACCTGGACTTTCCCGATGTCCTCAAGTATGCCGGTGTGGGTAATATCATAGGTCATGAGATGGCCCATGGTTTTGATTCCTATTGCTATCAGTATAATTATGATGGCAAAAAGATCAACTGGTGGTCCTCGGCTTCGTTGAGGAACTTTAAGGAACGCTATCGTTGCCTGGAATCCCAATACAACAAGTTCATATTGATGGGCATCCAGACGAATGGCACTCTCACCTCTGGTGATAATATAGCTGATAATGTGGGCACTCGGATGGCTTACTATGCCTACAAGAGGAAGTCAGGGGACAAGGCCTGGTCAGAGAAACCCCTCAGGGGTGTGAATTTCACCAACAAGCAGTTGTTCTTTGTGAAATTCGCACAGACCTGGTGCAATGGCAAGGATAATAGTGACAAGATTCGGAGACTGAAGACCGATGTTCATGCCTACGATGAGTTCCGGGTTCAGGGTACACTCAGTAATATGCCCGAGTTTAGTGAGGCTTTCAAATGTAAGCTGGGCACGGAATGAATCCTCTCAAGAAGTGTGTGGTCTGGTGAAATAAAGTTGTATGTAAATAGAATAAACTTCGAAGGGGGACTTTTTACTTGTAATTAGTTTACGGAAATTTATAAATAATATCTCAAAGAAGACATCTTAATTTCTGCTTTCGCCAAGTTCTATCTATACCAGCACTCAGCAATTTCTTGGTCATCTTGCAGGAAAATCAATAATTTATGGCACAAAAATCAACGCCCCCCACTTGGAACAGCTGATGGCAATCGAATAGAGTCGAAATACTAATTGATTTGATGCAGAACCTGCACAGGAGAAGACTCTGACTCTACTTGAATTGTAGGCGGATACCGGCAATATTTGTCTTTTGACTTCTTTTGCAACGATGACACCTTTCTCATTACGAATTAATGGCATTTTCGTTTAAACAAAAGGTCCCAACAATGGCAAAGCAACAAGAAGAAAGTCACCGGGTCACTGGGAATAAAGGTGCAGAAATTGTAGGCTTCAGCTGAAAAACGGTTTTCTCGAAAAGAAAAACAGTTTTTACTATCATTAGTCGTCACTTGAGAGTTTCACGAAGAACAAAAACCTTTAGGGAAAGCAAGAGAAAAGTCAAAAAAGGAAGCCAAAACCGTTGCTTCGACCATGCAGGCTGCATACGAAATAAGGACATAGAGAGAAGGGATATATTTGCTTAAGGATCTTTGGGCTTATCTCGGGCGTCCGAGCGGCGGCCTAACGGATTTTCATGCATTTGTTATGGATTTTCGGCGCCAGGTCCTCTTATTAGCTGGCAGGTAAATGATCCTGCTGCCTCCTGTATCCTCGTAGCCTCGCAGCGGGGAATCCATCCTCCTCCTCACAATCCCACTGACTCCTGGCAGGTCATAAAAATCCAGATAGATCATTAATTTAATGGCTTTTGTGCTCACTTGGAAATGCAAAGTGCATGTGCCCATGGTACCTACATCACACAACTGATCGTGGCGGTGGTCTGCCGTCTCTCTGAGCAAATCAAATTGCGAAATCTATATGGGAAACTCTAGCCTCTCTATATCTTATAATTGCACTTGCCCAGCACAATGGGCCAGTTAAATTAGCCTTCATTTGTAATCTTCTAGCGTTTGGCTATCGCTCTCTTCTGGGTCTCTGGTCACCGCCTCCTCAGGCCTCCTCTGATCGCATTAATTCCATTTATGTAAACCATTTCGATGAGGGCTTGTCGCTAGTAATTCGAAAGGCGTGGATGGGTGTAATAAAAAATCAACTTGCAGTCTTGGGAAAAAGGGAGGAGAAGGTGGTATTCTGGGGTCTGGTGGGTGATGTACGAGATTGGAGTGAAGGTAAAGAGTTGCCAAGCGTTGCTGGGATTAATTATTAATTGAAAATAAATATTAAATATTATTTCCATGGGTTTAGAATAAACTGAGATTTAACTCCTGCTGAAATAATTGATTTAGATTGATTGATGTAGAGGAAAACTGCTCAAAATTGCAGAAATTATCTTAAAACTCTTAGACAAAGTCACTCAAATTTTCAATACAGATTTTCCTCAGCAAAATTTAGTTGAACACTTAATTTTTCAGGAATATATTATATATTTCGCTCAATAGTTCAACTCATTATTAAATTTTAGTATAGTTTTCCTTAAAAATAAACCAATTTCCCCAAAGTTCATCTGGCAACCTTAAAAATCTTGATGTACTGAGCAAACAACTTTGCCAAAACCATGTTTCCATAATTACATGCAGAATGGCTTTATGCCACGGCAACCTGCTTCCGCCGCTTAGCCAATAATGCTCCTCAACCCAATCCCGAAACCCACTACCATCTTCAACCTTCACCCATTACCTCGTTCCTTCATTTGATTCCTGACCCACCACCACCATCATCATCATCATCCTACTCCTGGTCATCATCTCCACCTGGCCTCCACCATCGCCAGCAGAAATTGAACAAAAGGGCGTCGTTGCTGGCCAAACGGAAAGTTAAGCTAAGACGACGGGCCAGCAAACCACATTTCAGGTAGGAACTACCAAAACAGTTGCACTTGCCGGGGATTCCCCTCCCAAGCGGGGGCTACGATGGGGAATCCATCGGTGCACTCTCTCATGGTGTTCATGGTGAATTATGAAAATCGTTGCGAAATTAAGTTAAGAACTTTTTCTTTTTTTTGTTCACAAGCTTAGCCAGGAAGCAAAAAGGCAGCGGTAGTGGAAGTTGGATTTTAGCATTGGTTATGACAACGTGATGGAGTCGTGAGTTATTTTATATATTTCAAATTGATTCACTTTAAAGGGTAATATTCAGAAAATGTAAAGATTATTTTAGTGAATCATACTAAAGTGTTTATAAATAATCAGTCTTTCAATGTAAGTTTACTTTTATAACCATGAATTGGAAGCAGTATTTAGGAAATTAAATAACGTCCTATAGAAATGTTGTTATTTGTGGAAAACTATTTATTTTAATAGAAATCTTTGCTCAATATTATTAATTTTAGTTTTGTAGGATCTTTAGGATTTGAGGGAATTAACATAGGTAATTCTCGGGCTTATAGATATACTATCTTTGAAAACTTTTGATTTGTTATCCGTCTTTCCAATTTATTTTCAACAAAGCAGTTGGTTTATGCCTTTAGTATGCCATTTATCCTTTAACAAATGTTATATTGATAAGTACTAATCATTTATTATTAGTTGTAAAACATTTTTGCATTAATTTAAAGTCACGCTGCCATCTCCAAAACCTCCAACAACCCATTGAACCTTTAGCTTTATTAAATGGAGATGATCAATTTAAATATTTTGCATTGTGGCTTGGCGGTGGTGCGTGAGTGCCCTGACCCCCAGCTGCACAGCTTCAACTTCAGCATCGAAGGTTCTCTTTTGCCAGAAAGAAAAGTGAAGCTCCAGAAGGAGCAGCCTCATTGAAGCGGAGGGGCAAATGCAGCACCACATCTTGATGCAACCTGCTGCGGCTTCTGCCGCAATGCTGCCGCCTCCTCTCGATTTGTATAAAAAATGTGCTTCATTTTATTTGGCCGCGACCGGCGTCCGCCTCCATGGGTAAACGCCCCAAGTTGGCCAACTTGAAGCCCCCAAACTTAAAACTCTGCAGAGAGACGCTGGCCAGCCGAAAAAATGCCAGACTAACACAAATCGCATATGGATCGCATGGATCGTTTGTTGGGCTGCTCCATTGGCTTCTGCGGGATTTTTTTAGTTTTTTTTTTTACTTATATTCGCCAACGATTATCTAAATTGCATACGAAATTATTTTAATTAAAAATCTAATTTTCTTACGCCGCCTTACAAGCTTCGCTGCGCTGAACTCATCTTTGGCATTCTCAAGGAATTTCTTTTTGGGTTTACCATACATTGATCTGTGGAAACTCTGGGAATATATTTTTTTTGGTTAATTCACCTTGTTTGTTGTACATTGAACCTTTAATTTGACGCGATTAAAATGATATTAGTGTGTACGTCACAGATGTTGTGCAAGTTGCAACCATCTTTCGACTTGAATCCTTCCCTGAACCTCCTTGGAGCGAAGGTGTGAAGATGTGACGGCGTCAGCTGGGGTTTTTGTCTTGAACATAGCATACGTGACCCAAGGTTTATTGATTAATGATGCATAATTTGGTGGGGAATATATAAATACATATATATATAGATATATATTAGGGTAAGTCTGGCCTAATTGACGCCTTTCCGGTTAGGTTTTTCTTACAAATATGCAAACGGCAAGGGTTGAAGAAGTAGGGAACATATAATGGTTAAGGTACATAGAGTTATTGTTGTGGGGAAATTATTTATAATAATAATATATTATACCAAAACTTACTAGGAAAATACTTTAAAAACATCTAGATATTAGCTCCAATTCGTTGAGCCCCTGTTCACAATAAAACTCATCTTCGGTAGCTCTTGGAAATTCCCAGTTGAATGCAATTCAATCAACCACCAACCGATGCATAAAATTAAATAAATGTTTGATTTGAATTTAATTGCGGTGGCTGTCTGGCATAGAGAACCTGTCTAGAGGTTGCATCAGAGAAAACCAATTGAAAATAAATCAAATGCAGCTCCGACAGCCGTGGATCAAAGAGACGCGCTAATCACACGCTGGGTCAAATAGGATCTAATTTCCACACGAGGAAAACCCATTTTTTTATATAAGTAAACACACACATATTCTGGACATTAACAAAAGATCTGAGATCATATGAGATGCGTTTATAGAGAGATCAGGTGCAGTCGTTGAGCATTCAAATTTCGCGCATCGCGGTAAGATAAATGATGATGCTGAAGCCAGGTAGAAGGAGAACAGGTAGAACAGTGCTAGCTGCAGGTAATCAACCATTTCAATTTGAATTTCGACAATAATTAAGCGCAACAATGGATTTATTGAGTTTTTCTCCACACTCTAGACATTACTTCTGCGGTTCGAGACGTTTGCCACCGAGCCTACAATTAGTCGGGGAACCCAAGAACCCTATATATTCCTACTCGAATCCCATCCGATCTCGTGGCAGTTGCAATTATCATAATTATTTTCATTCATTGCGGCGCTGCATTGAGCCTCTCCGACTGACAGTTCATCTCTCTGGCGGAGATTGGCGAGATAAATCCAGGCCCCTGAGCTCTTTGAATGGAGAAATCTTCGTAAAGACGTTTCCTTTTGTTCTCTACCCCAGTCTGGTTTGTTCTCACCAGATCCCAGTAGCCGGTAGACTTGGGAAAAATGAGGATGCATTCAATGATTTGTTTTTCTTTGCATTTCCGGCACTTGCTGCATGCATTTCCCTTGATTTTGAATACCCTTTTTAAGGGAATGAATGTATGGGGGTTATGTTTATGTTACTTCCTTAGATCTTGATTGGAATTAACTGGAGTGAGTTGGAATTTTGAATGAGTTTTGTTTAATAACATTTTGAATATTTTAATATAACATTTTTAGGATTTTTATTATTAGATTTAATTCAAAATCTTTAGTTATATATATATATCGACAAATTTTACTTCAAATTCAATTTTCTTATATCTTCAACCGTCTTAATTCTCACAGAATCTTCAGTCAGTCTGTACCTATATCTATATTGATTGCATTTACCATTTTTCTAGGCATTTCCCTTAGATGTATCTTAAATGGAAGTGCCATTGTAAGACCTTTGCTCATTTATGGCAAATTATTGTGGAAATCGTAATGAGAAGCTTGCCTCAAACTCAGGTGATGGATCACCCCAAATGCTAACGATCTTGGGTCTGCTCTGTATAGATATAAAAATCACGAATATATCTAACAGAAAATCTAATCAACCAAACCAACTTCGGTGAGTTACATTTGCTTAAATTGACTTTAATTTCCGGTCGCGTGTTGGTTTCATTTTTAGTTTGTTTTCCCCTTTGATCCGAACTCCCCCGTCGCCCTTTGTTTTACTTTAAATTTTTGATAATTGCAGCACTTAAGGAGGTTTGATTTTTTTGTTGTGGGTTTTGCATGTCATGGAAGCATTTCCGAGCTGGATCAGAGGAAATGGATTTACATATGAAGATGAATGGTGATGCCTATTTAAATATATGTCTAAAGGTGGTTCGGTTGGGTTACCTATAAATACAATTGAGGTCACGAGTTCCCTTGGGTGAGATCATCAAACGGCCAAAATGGCAATTTCAATAATCGAAAGAAAACAAGATGTTTCAACCCCTCTTTTAAGGAGCAACAGGATAAGCACGAGAATGGCAGCCTCCTAACACCCTTTTTGTGGGTCGTCCTTGGTGTCCCTTTAAGATGGATGAAGTGTTTGACAACCCTTTCAATCTTCATAAATGTTCGCACGCGTTGTAAGTGGAGAGACTGCAACATTAGCCCGGGTCCCTTGAGTCGCATCCCTTTTCGTTTTTTTTTCTGCTATCAAGATGACGACGAAGAACCCTTTGCCAATAAAAAGTTAAATCTGTTTCGATGCATAAAAAATTGAAACTCTCATAAGCATGCGTTTGGCACGAGTTTTCCTTTTCGCACAAGGGTTTCCCCTTTATTTTCTTGTTATCCTTCTCGTGATGGCGAGGCCTGCTTTTTGGGGTTAAGAAGGCCATGAAAAATGGCCATGTTCTTGTTAACACATTGTAAATACCTCATTTTTCACTTAACGGGTTTTTAAATACATATATGGATTTGAGGAGCAGGTTTTGGGGTGTAAGAGATAAGTATTGGGGAGCAAGTTTTAATCGTTTAAGAATGGGGTTTAAAAATGGGTATGTTAAAGGTAATAAAATATAGTAAATATAGTTAAATGTTTTGAATATATTTTAGGAATATTTTAAGGAGGAAGTATCTAACAATTTAAACTATTTCTATGACCCATTCAATCTCTATAATTATAAATATTTGTATACGTGAGTTTCAACTCACCTGATGGTGCCATTTGCTGATGATGGCTCATGGCGGGATGGCAATTGGCTCTTGGTCTTTCCCTTTCCGGAGGCAGGGCCTCCATGAACTCCTGCTTGACTTGGATCTGCGGCAGGCGCAGTAATCCCTCAAAAGCCTCCTTCGTTGCGCTGGTGGGTGGAACTGGTGGGCAGTTGTCTTTAGGGTTAAAGCCATTCAAATGGCCAACGTTAGCGGCATAATTAGCAGATGATGTTGCCGCTGCTGCTGCTGCTGCTGCTGCAATTGCTGGGAGTTGCAGTTGATCGTTGACTAGAGTGCTTGCAACGCCTTTGCCAGTAATTTGAACATTAACACCTGCTGCTGTTGCTGCTGCTGTTGTTGTTGTTGTTGCAGTTGCTGTTGCAGCAAGGCAATGAGTTGCTGCTGTTGGGGACGTCAGCAACATGGTTGTTGCTGCTGTTGCTGTTGCTGCTTCTGTTGCTGCTGTTGCTGTTGTTGCGCTCAAGTGTTGATGATGGGAATTGTTGTCGAGTGTTTTGCCAACAGTAATGGCATAGTTGGTGCTGCTGCTGCAGTTGCTGGTGATGTTGCTCTGTTGCCGATGTTGCAGTTCGTCAGCAGCAAATTGCGTCGCTTTGATTTATGGG